AGATCTCATCTCAAAAGATAAGATGTAAAGCTGTTGAGGAAGGCGCCTGTATACATGTGTGCATGGATATGAACATACAGAGAAAGTATGAGAAAGGTCTGCTTTGCACAATATGATGTGATTAAGGTTTTGAGGAGAAATTCTGCTTACCTGGAAGAGAAGTGGACATGCACCAGTAGTGGGTAAAGAAGAACATTGTAAGAACAGAAGAGGAACGTAGCAGCAATCAAGATGAACCCTACTAACCCAGTCTAAATAAATGCCGACATACCCCCGGGAAGAGGACACCTAAGCCCTAAAGGCCGATCCTAACTGCCTGGGTTCTCATCTCCTCTGGCAGCCGTCCACAAAAGCATCTCGATGCATACCACACCCTGTCTGTTACATGCTTCCCTGGGCACCAGACTATTTTTATTAATAAAATGCAGTCACTGATCAGATTCCGGGGACAAGTTTCTTTTTGTCTGATGCTGCTGACAAACAGCGGCCAAAGACCTTCTGATATTTGACCACACAAAATAATTGCAATTTATAAAAAAGCAACACTTCGACATTGCTCCTCTCTTGGTCGTACTGATCTGACTCGGATGTTGGTATCTCTCACAGCAGGAGGGGTCCCCAGTTAGGCAAGGCTAGACTCATGCTGTTATGGCAACTCCACTTCCTGAACAGGGAGTAAATGACATCTTTATGTGTAGGTTGGCATGGAGGGAAAACGAAGGTTGGGGCTGCTGCTCAACAATTCTGGAAGACTTCACCCCGGATGCCTCCTGTGTTGATCTGATGCTCACACATCGGCACCAAAGAACTGCCTCAAGCCACAGAATACATTTCCAGCACATCACAGCCCGCGGCACCATCAATTCCGCCTGCCATCCGTGTCCGAGAGGGAAGTTCTTAGGGGTTCTGTTCCAGCCTATCTCAAGGACTAATTAAATCCTCATTACCACCTTCTAATTATTCAAATACTGGGGGATTACACCCGGGAAGTCCCTGCTGGCCCGCTAGATGAAAGGGTTAAAGAAGCCGTGTTGGTTTTGCGAATCCAGTGCTGGTGTCCTTCAGAAAGCCACCAGCCTCAACATGAATATTTAACTAGACACCACTGTGAAAATTAAAAGGGAATTCAATTAAAAGGCTTGCAAAAAAATTAATTCTGACCTCTCTACATCTGTCCAAATAAATAAGGCTTCCTTCAACGTTTTCACCTAATTGCTAATCCAATAAACCAGAAGGGCATTTGCTGTTTCATTAGGCTTAACGTGGTTTAGGGGTTAAACATGTGATCACTTTAATGTTAGTACTTATTATACTTATTTATCTATGCAGACGACTATTCCATATTCTGTCCAATCCCGGAGAAATGGGCCACACATTAGTAAGCCTTTTCCGATGGCTCTTTAGGATGTGGAAGATGTATACACCAAAAATAAAGACCGAGGCCACTATTGGCCTCAACTCCTTCACTGCAGCTCTCCACCACACTGCGCCTCTGCCGAGGTGACCATTGGGCGCCATGTCACAAGGGTTCTACAGAAAGAAGTGGTTTAAACCAAGAACCAGTATCTAATGTGTTGTCACAGTGTAAGTACGACATGTCCCCCCAAAGCCTCGTGTGTGGAGGTCTTGGCTCCTACGGTGGTAGATTCAATCACCCATTAAGTGATTGGATTACAAAGGCTCTAAGTTAGTCAATAACTTGTCCATGGACAGATTCGTCATTGTCATTTGATGGCGGTGTTGGGAGGTGATGGGAACCAGGGAGGAGGTGGCCTTGGTTGGAGGAAGCCCATTACTGGGAGCCTGTCTGTGGAGGGACTACCTTGCCCTGACCCTGTCCCAGCGATCTGTGTTTCCCAGGTGTCTCGGGTTAGTACCTCTGTTCCACTATGTCGTCTCCTTTGTGATGTTCGACTCACCTCAGGCCCTAATCAAGGGAGCCAGCCCATCTTGGACTACAACCTCTGGAACCCCAAACCCAAATAGATCCTTCCACCTGTCAAATTTCTTATACCAGGTCTTTGCCACACTAACAAAAGCTGACAAATACATGTTATTACAGAAGATCAAACTCAAATTTTAACCTTTTTAAAAAAATTATTCAGCTAGTAAAAATTTCAGCAGTGAAGTATCAATGGAGTTTTATGTTGGAAAACAGGTGAAACTGTATTGAGATCCCCATAGAGCAGTTGTTCTCAACCTTCTTGATGCTGTGACCCTTTAATACAGTTCCTCATGTTGTGGTGACCCCCAACTATAAAATCAATTCATCGCTACTTCATAACTGTAATTTTGCTACTGTTACTAATTGTAATATAAGTATCTGACATGCAGGATATCTGATACACACACTGTAAAAAGGTCATTTGACCCCAAGACCTACAGGTTGAGAACCATTGCCATAGAAACGGACCAAGAGGCCAATCAACATCACTGTTTCTCTCCTTTCCATAACCTACGTTGCCACCTCTGTGTGCAGGTCCGACCACCTTCCTTTTATATCAGGAAAATATAAATCTGAAGTGAGTCACCATCACCTGCATCTAATACAACATGGGGAAAGGGCTTTGTGACCGGCCCTTTGACAGAGCCACCAGGAGTGAGGGAGGAGACTGCAGAACCTAGAGACTCATCCTTCAGGGTACATGGGCATCGTAAAGGCCTGCAGATACCACAGTTGTTCAGATCCACTCGAGACCTTGCTATTGGTGAACCTCTTTTAACCCGGGAATGCTGTTTATTGTTTATGAAGAACACAGGGTCAAGCAGAAGGGACGGCATCGGGGTAAAAAGCTAAGAGTTCTTTCAGCATCTTGAGCCTGGAGGGACTTGGCTCCAGGACACTGGTGCCACCCATGTTGTGCCACAGGGACTTGGGGCAGGGCTCAGAAAACTGCCCTCCACACAGGAGGAGGCACAGCATCCTTTTGTGGGTCCATGTTCAGGCAAGTGTTTACATAGTCCTTGACGTGAAAGCAAGCACGTCTCTACTATACACACGGGAAGCAGTGTGCAAGCTCACTATTTTCCCTGCATCTCATTAAGACACATGCAAAAGGAAATCACTCAACTTGCTTCTTTCAGCCCTGAGCAGCTCAGAAGCTATGCTCTGATCTGATTTGAACTAAATCTGTGATTCTGAAGAAAGATATTTTGAAAATAGAACCTAGCTAGCAAACATGTAAAACAAGTGTTTTTTTTTATTTTATCAAATGTTACTAGGAGCAAACATTTCTTCTTAAATTTTAACGAATAATAAACTTATTTTCCTTTAATCCCCTTTACTTACATTTAAAGGAAAATTAACTCATATATGTCAGCCCATATTTAACTTAATAGCTGTTTTTAACAAAGGAAGTTTTCCCTTTTTTGGAAGCTGTCTAGCCATGTTTCCGGAACTCTTTCAGAGACGGTGGTTTAGGGAATACGCTCATAGAAAAACATTTTAGATCTAGCAACTTATGAAATGAATATTAATTTGCTACTTAAGGGAAATGGTTGCGAGAACCGCCCAGATCGCCAGGTATCCAGGGTATTAACTAAACCACACGAAAGGTAATGTGGAGAAGCCTACAAGCATTACACGGTAATGCTGTGCAAGGGAAACGCCGACATTCTGGCCGCAAACTGACCGAACCCGGCTTCCTCACGGATGTCAGGCCTTCATGCTTGTGTTTTAAGGGCTGGGGAAATGCTGTCTGAGGGGCTGTGAGGACTTCTCTCTCGTTAGTGTGCTGTACTCGGTATTTTAGGCTCCAAACAAGAGATACCTGTGTCCTGCTTAGCACTGGCCTGGTCTGGACGGGTAGGTGCCCAGTGCAGGAATGGATCCTTTTGCTTCCGCCTCACTGGCCCAGCTACAGACCCAGGATACAAGCCAGGACCAGTGAGCCACAGTTCTCCAGCATCCCCTCAGCACTGGCGACAGCTGCGAGCTTGTCAACATGCTGACTAAACTGTGCCACCCTAACCTCCGATAAGAGATCAGGAGGCAGGCCCAGCAATGGGATTCACAATGTGCACATATGTGACTCCCACATACTCTAAATTAGCTTCAAAGCTATCTCTACAAATCTCCCAGGAGTACCCAGGTACACCAGCACTCAGAAACTTCCGTCTCCAAGCCTGCCTATGTGGAAAAGGTGGTCCAAACTGAGCTAGGTTAAAAATCACCCTGGTCCCAGCAGTGACGCGCAGCTCTTCTCTATACCAATCTGGGTTAAAATTGCCTTTCCCGACCCGCTGCCTCAACAGCAACTGTGCCTTCCCCACAGAGGACAAAAGGACTGAGGGATAAGCCTGAGGACACCAGGCATTCCGAACACACCATGGAGTAATGCCGGAGAGTTTGCAGACGGAGACAACATCTGTGTGTAAGCACCAGGAAAGCACACGCTCCTTTTCTGACCTGGATGCCACCGAGCCTCTAATGAGGGAGTCACTGTGAACTCTATGGTCTCTCTCGGGGTGGACCATGTGATCTTTCAGGTGGACTCCAGTCTGAAGACCTTACAATTTTATACAATGTCTTGTTATGTGCTTAAAATCTGCTGGTAAATACCACAGGATTGAGTGATCAGTCAAAACAGTTTTTCTACACACTCATACACATACACATCATACACATCACACACACACATACACACTCTCACACATGCATACTAGTAGTGCGCACACACACATATATACACTTGCAAACAAACATGCAAATACACACATATGCACACACACACACACACACACACACACACACACACACGCACGCAAACATTGACATTATTGTATCAGAATGTGTACAGGTGATATTTCACAGTGCTTTGTGAACGCATATTCTTTGGGTCTTGAGTCTCCCCTTGGCCTAATGTCACTTAGTCTACAAGAAAGACTCCTTCCTCTTCATGATTGTTGTCACACGAAAGCTTGTGTTCACTTGACAGGAAACACTACACCCTCATCTACCTTGTCTGCAGTGGGAGTGCTGGGTATGACCTGAGACTCACCTCTTTCCTGCGGCATTGGTGACTGGCTCAAGGCAGGATGGGAACTGGATTCTGACTGGCTCCCAGGTGGTTGAGGAGGCATCTGGCTGCCTGTAAAACACAGGAGGGAAACACAGATTTATACTTAATACCGCAACCACAAAAGCCAAGATATAGTTAACAGTTCACTTTTATGATCACAAAAGGCACAGAGGCCTCCAAAAGTAAAAGATTTCATCTTCCCCCTGTAAAATGAAGAAGAAAGGATAAAGATATTTACCAAAAGACCTGCTTAAAAAGACAGAAACCGAGGAACCACTGCTGAATGACTTATCAAACTCATGGAGGAATCGACCAGTGGCTGCAATCTGACACACTCTGCACCACACTCCACAAACCCAAGATGGCCGGCCCAACTTAGCCCTTGAGTCTGAACTCATCCCCACGGGGCAGGAATGATGTCCGATCTCTACAGTAACATCAACTTCTAATAAGCAGCTGGAGACTCAGTGAGGAGCACGAGGCAGGAGGACGTGAGCACAGAGGAGGGCACTGCCCGGCCACTGCTGACTTTTGCTGCTGATACAGCAGCAGCGTCTCTTTAACTCCCAGATGTTTAATGCTCATTCAACTATTTCTTCACAGACGATGTGAGTTTCCTGAGGTGACAATCATGTCTTTTCACTCCTTGAATACCTCCCTTAGCACGAAGAATATAACTCATAATCTCAGAATACAAAATAAAGACACTTATTTTATTGATAAAAGAGAGACACGAATCATGTGGAGGCTTGAGGCATAATTCTGAAATTAAGTACTTGACAGTATTAACTCACTTCCTGGCCCAGAGGTTTAGAGACATTTCTAAGACTAGAGATATGGCAGAATTAAAAAGTATTGAATTTAACACTGCCCTTAAGGCCCAAGCATGCATAGCATGAGGGTATTGCTATTTTATGCGCTACCTTCTCCCTCGGTTACAATGAATATAAAAGAGACACCCCCAAACTACACACAACTTCCCTACATCCCTGTTGAGTGGCAGTCACGTGATCACGGCAGCTTCTGCTAACTACTTTGATTGCACAGGTCCTGTTCGCCCATAGCTAAATACATTCCGGACAAGAGCCACAGCTGAGTAGAGACGGAAACTAACGGCTTTAAGATTGCCACCAGTTCAACCCACTGGAGGTTGTGTGGCACACATCCGTGCCATCTCTGTCCTGGAGTCTCTGGGCACTGTCACTCATGAGCAACTCTAACAATGCTTGCACGGGACAGCCAAAGGAAGGCAGAGGATTCCCACCGCAGGTCGGACGGGGGCAAGAACTATGAAAGCTCAACTGTAAAACAATCCTGAAGTTCTTTTGGGGGCTTAGGAACCCACTTTTAGAGAATAATACAAAACTTGGTATATATTTCTGAGTGTTCCTCTGTCACGTTCAGGAGATAGTCTGAGCAGTGAGGAGCCCCTATGTGTGCCCATAGCCCAGAGCAAAGAAGGCCTGACAAACAGCACACTGGGCTCCAATCGGCTTCATCTTCGGCATCTAGAGTAACCTAATATTAGTACCAAATAATTACCTGTACAGTAAAAACATTTAACATCCTGGTCTAAATCAACTCCAAGGGCAAACACTGGTCATCGACGCAGCGATGGAGCTACAGAAATGGCTTTGTAGCCACTGCGGGACACATGCTTCCTATGACATGAAATGCCCAATGGCCCCAATCTATAGTCCATTGAGAAATTTAAAGCGCTCTGCAGCCAAACCCAGACTTTTAAAAGTGTCACCGGGGAATGAGCTGCCGCAAAGACAGTAAGGGTTTATATTATAATGCTTGCCTCTGCATGACAGGCTGGATTCATAGGCTCACACCGAGAAAACAAACAGCAATTCTATGTCAACTCAGGGCAGTATGGCTTCCACCGCGCATGCCTGAGGCTCTGCTCTTCCGTACAATGCACCAAGCAAAAACAAAAGGACTGCAAGAAACCCATCCCATCATGCATACAGCATCGCCACAGCCAACACATCCACCGCAACCTGGTGCAATGTAACGGTGATGCGCCTTCAAAGCATTGAAGCTTGCACACATTAAATTTACCCTTTTAACAAAATAAACAGCTGTTACATGTTGAAGAAAAATAAACCTAAGTTACTTCAGGTTCCCTGCTTTCACCCTTTTAGCCTCTTCCGTAACTATTACGTAACTGTGGTCACTTGGGAATAACATGCTGTGTGCATGCAGGGATAACTACTGTTATAGCAGGTGACCCAGAAATCATACATGTGAAACGTAACACAGGAGAATTCATTCTGTCCACAGTCCACAGGAGGAAATCCAGAGCCTTTTGATGAACTGAATTAAGTAAACACCTTCAGATCTGTGGGGTTTCATATATACTGATTTTAAGTAAAATTTTTAGAGTTTGGTAATTATTTCAAAGGAGGACATGGCCACATAAGGTAGAGAAATCAACCTTAGGAGGAACTCTAGCCTCCATAGTTTAATTTAACCGTAATTCAAAGCCTTGTTACGCCCGTGTTTGCCCTCATCTGTATCTGAAATGACATAAGCACAAGGGGAAATACACCTGGACAACAGCACTGTCAACGAGGATGAAGCCACCATTTACACCTCTGTCCTTATTAACTAACAGCTGCAGAAACACTTCCGGGTAAAAGGGAGAACAATGTAGCCAGGCACCACCAAGTTACCTCAGTTTATACTTTTGTTTAGTTGAAACACCAAGAACAGTATGGCACCCTATACCCGGAACTCTACCTCCCCTCATGGCTACATCTTATGCAACTACAACATAATTATGTAGTGATCTACCTACAGACCTTATTTGAATTTGTCAACTTTTCCAGTAAATGTCCTGTTTTTAGGAGCATCCAATGCTTCTTTTAGCCATGTCCCCTACTGTCCCCTTAGTGTCCCCCGGTCTCCCCTGATGCCGTATAACCTTGACACTTCAGAAGTGAACTAATGAGTTGTTTTGTATGGTGCTTCCCAGTCAGATTTGGGTAAGACATTTTCATCACTAAAAACAAGGACATACAATTTGGGACATGTGTGAGAAATACCACATCCTTTTCTGTTCATCCTATCATCATCCTATCATGGGGATGGGACACTGGCACATTCCATTTCTGGTGTTCATGTTGACTACATGATCTGGTTGGTGTTGGCTTTGGGGTGTTCATATCCCCTTTGAGGTTGATCCAAGTCCCACATCTCCCTCAACTTTCACCTGCTAATTTCAGCATCTATTAGAAGATCCTGCCTATGAGGTTAACCACAAGGGTATTTATCTGCTAATGGTAACTTCCTATTTCCCCCTAGACTTCCATGTGTGTTAACTGGATTTCAATCTGAGGAAACCCATGTCCTCATAGCACCCTCTTGTTCACTGAGGGAAGGACCACACCTTGTTTCTAAGGAACATGGCAGAAAGGTGACAGACTGTTTGTTCCTCCTACATGTAGCCATATGTGGAGAGACAAAGGGTTCTGTTTTTCTGTAGCATGTTAGTGGACTTGGACAGGATCAAAAGGGAGATGGTTCCACAGACCTCCAAAGAGGGCTCCCCTATGATGTGAACTGACTTAAGGGACAGATAGGAATTCTTCAGAACTTGACGGCTTTACTTCCTATCATGGGTTTTATTTTTAATCAAAACAACTGGCATGTGCATTAGTGTACATGTGCATATGTATGTGGAAAACAGAAGTAGACATAGGTGTCTTCCTTGATTTCTCTCCACCCATATCCTGAGGCACAGTCTCTCACAGAGCACACTGATTCAGCTAGTCTAGCTAGCCAGCTTGCTGGGGAATCCAGTGTTTCCTTCACTGCGACTGCAGGTGGGCTACCAACCACATCCCTGCTGGCTTTTAGTGTGCTCTGGGGATTGTAATTCCAGCTCTCAGGGTGTTGTGGTAAACTGCTGAGCCATCCTCCTAGCCCCTTTTTCTAAAAAATTTTATCTGGAATGTTCCCCAAACTCAAGCTTTAAAGGCCTGGTCTCTGGGAAGTAGTGGACTCTCAGAGGTAGAGCCTAGTGGAAGGTCTTGGTTGTTGGGATAACAGCTACTAAGGGAATCCGAAGATGCATGCCCCCTGTTCTTTTGTTTCCTGGCCACCAGCAAATGAGCAGCCATGTTCTAACCCATGTTGATATAATACCCAACTTTGGCCCAAAGCAACAGGCACCTTACCATAGATCTAAACTTCCCAAATTAAGGTCCAACATCTACCTTTCCCCTATTAATTTTTGTTGGATTTGTCACAGCCATGAAAAGCTAACTTATTTCCACAACCAACAGAAGTGGCCTGTGCTGTGGTCTGAATAAAGTTGGGAGCAGCGTCTCCTTGACTTGGGCTTCTAGAGTTAGTTCCTGTGCTCCACTGTCAGGGTGCCCTCTTTTCATTAAATACGTCCATATTTTTAGGACCACCAGAGGCTTCAGGCTCATCTTGGATTTGTCTTGCATCAGTCCTGGGATCGATCTGCTACTTTTAGAAGTCCTGGCTCCCGTTTCTGGTGACAGTGCTCTCCAACTTAGCTCTGGGTGTCAGGGAGGCTCACAGCTAATGGTATTCTAATGCTTCCAGCTCTCCCAGCGGACAGAGGCACACCCTAACCCATGTACTACATGAACCTATGTGCTGATGTTTACATGTATAAAGATTAGCTTATATACACATCTCCAATTCCAGTCCCAGACCGGAGAAATTTAAAGCTCCCAACCTCGCCCAGTAACAAACCCAAATTAATCTAAGTCAATTAATTTCCTTAAGTTACACACATAAAGCAACTAATTAGTGTTGCTATTCCATTTGCACACCGTGCCGGGCAGCACTTGTTCTGGCACTGTGAGATGCTTCTATAGTTTAAAAAGCCAAAGTTAAAAATGTGCACAGAGCCACTGCCTCCTACTCCCAGTGGCCTGTCAACTCCAGTTCCAGAGGCTGTGATGGCATCTTCTGACCTCTGTGGACCCCGGCACACATGTGGCATACTGACACAAATGCAGGCAAATACCCACACAAATACAATGTGAAGAAATAATTTGTAAAAAAAAACAAAACAAAACAAA